TCTTTGTGTGTTATGGAATACACTGTTAGGTTAATTTGCTTCATTTTATTTTCAATTTTGGGATTTCTTTTCAAAAGTTAACTTTGTTTTATAATCTACCACCTAGAAGAATTAGAAAAAGAAGAACAAACAAAACATAAAGTCAGCAGAATGAAGGAAATAATAAAGACCAGACAGGAAATAAATAAAACAGAGATTAAAAAACAGAAAAGATCAATAAAACCTTTTTTTTTTTGAAAGGATAAACAAAATTGACAAACCTCTAGCCAGGCTCACCAAGAAGAAAAGAGAGAGGACCCAAATAAACAAAATGAGAAAAGAGGAGAAATAACAGCTCATACCATAGATACATAAAAAATCATAAAAGAATACTATGAACAGTTATATGCCAACAAATTGGACAACCTATAAGAAACGGACGTTTCTAGAAATATACAGCTTGCCAAAACTGAGTCAAAAAGAAACATAATTTGAACAGACTGATTACTACAAGTGAAATAGAATCTGCAAAAACAAAAACAAAAAAAACCAAAAAACCCTTTGAAAACAGAAGTCCAGGACCAGACAGCTTCACTGGGGAATTCTACCAAATAAAGGAGAACTTATACCTAGCATTCTCAAACTATTCCAAAAAACTGAAAAGGAAGGAACACTCCCAAATTCATTCTATGAAGCCACCATCACCCTGATACCAAAACCAGATAATGACACTACAAAAAAAAAAAAAAAAATTACAGGATATGTTTGATGAATATAGATGTGAAAATCCTCAACAAATATTAGCAAACCTAATTCAACAATACACAGAAAGGAACATACACCATGATTAAGTTGGATTTATTCCAGGGTTACAAGGATGGTTCAACATATGCAATTCAATCAATGTGATACACCACATTAACAAAAGAAAAGACAAAACCACATAATTAATTCAACAGCATAGAAAAAGCGTTTGACAAAATTCAACATCCATTCATGACAAAAACTCTCACCGAAGTGGGTATAGAGGTAACATATCTTAACATAATGAAAGCTATTTATGACAAACCCACAGCCAACATAATATTCAATGATGAAAAGCTGAAAGCCTTCCTACTAAATTCAGGAACAAGATTAGGATGCCCACTCTCACTACTTCTATTCAACATAATATTGGAAGACCTAGACACAGCAATCAGACAAGAAAAAGAAATAAAAGGTATCCAAATTAGAAGGGAAGAGGTAAAACTGTCACTATTTGCAGAAGACATGATACTCTATATAGAGAACCCTAAAATCTCCACACAAAAACTATTAGAAGTAATAAATGAATTCAGCAAGGTAGCAAGATACAAGATTAATATACAGAAATCAGTTGCATTTCTTTACACTAACAATAAAATATCAAAAAAAGTAAGAAAACAATCCTGTTTAAAATCACATCAAAAAAATATTTAGGAATAAACCTAACCAAGGAGGTAGCTATACTTTAAAAGTATAAGACATTGATAAAACAAACTTAAGATGATTCAGAGAGGGATTCTCTGGTGGCGCAGTGGTTAAGAATTCGCCTGCCAATGCAGGGGACACAGGTTCAAGCCCTGCTCCAGGAACATCCCACATGCCGCCGAGCAACTAAGCCCATGCACCACAACTACTCAGCCTGTGCTCTAGAGCCCACGAGTCACAACTACTGAACCCACATGCCACAACTACTGAAGCCTATGTGCCTAGAGCCCGTGCTCCACAACAAGACAAGCCACCGCAATGAGAAGCCCGCACAACACAACGAAAAGTAGCCCCCGCTCGTCACAACTAGAGAAAGCCCGCACAGCAAGGAAGACCCAGTGCAGCCAAAAATAAATAAATTATATAAATAAATTTTTTAAAAAAAGATTCAGAGAAATGAAAAGATACCCCATGCTCTTGGATTGGAATAATTAATATTGTTAAAATGGCCATACTACCCAAAGCAACCTACAGATCGAATGCAATCACTATCAAAATACCCAAGATATTTTTCACAGAACTAGAAAAAATAATACTAAAATTTACATGGAATGACAAAAGACCCAGAATTGCCAAAACAATCCTGAGGAAAAAGAATAAAGTTGAAGACATAACCCTTTCAGACTTCAGACAATACTACAAACTATAGTAATCAAAACAGCATGGTACTGGCAGAAAAAAACAGATCAATGGAACAGAATAGATAGTGCAGAAATAAACCCACACACCTATTAATCTACAACAAAGAATATAAAAGAATATACAATACAGAAAGGACAGTCTCTTCAAGTGGTGTTGGGCAAGCAGAACGGCTCCATGTAAATCAATGAAATTGTAACAGTCCCTCACACTATATACAAAAATAAGCTCAAAATGGTTTAAAGACCTAACTATAAGATATGCCACCATAAAACTCAGGAAGAGAACATAGGCAAAACATTCTCGAACATAAATAGTAACAATATTTTCTTAGATCTCCCAAGGCAGAAGAAATAAAAGCCAAAGTAAGCAAACGGAACTTAATCAAACTTAAAAGCTTTTACACAGCAAAGGAAACCATCAACAAAATGAAAAGACAACCTATGGAATGGGAGAAAATATTTGCAAACAATGTGATCAACAAGGAGTTAATATCCAAAATACACAAACAGCTCATATAACTCAATATCGAGAAAACAAACAATCCAATAAAAAAATGGGCAGAAGACCTAAGGGAGGGTGGAGAGATAAATTAGTAGTATGGAATTAACAGATACAAACTAAATAGATAAACAACAAGGATTTACTGTATAGCACAAGGAACTATATTCAATACCTTGTAATAACCATAATGGAAAAAACCTGAAAAAAATTACATATATATAACTGAATCACTTTGCTGGACACCTGAAACTAACACAATATTGTAAATCAACTATACTTCAAATAAAAATTAGGTGAAACCTGATTATAATTTTATTTGGTAGGAATGAAATATATCAGTGCTTTTTATACCTTGAATGAATGCTGTAATTATGCAGTATACTTTACAATAAGACTTCCATTAGGATTAGCAAGTTTGAGATATAAGATCTTTCCTCTCAACTTCTGTATTCTCCGAAACAGCAGTCCCCAACCTTTTTGGCACCAGGGACCAGTTTCATGGAAGACAATTTTTCCACGAACTGGGGAGGGGGGGTGGCGTGCAGGGGGGGTGTGGTTTCGGGATGATTCAAGCACATTACATTTATTGTGCACTTTATTTCTATTATTATTACATTGTAATACATAATGAAATAATTATACAACTCACCATAATGTTGACAGGAAGTGGAGCTCAGGCGGTAATGCAAGCAATGGGGAGCAGCTATAAATACAGATGAAGCTTTGCTTGCCAGCCACTCACCTCCTGCTGTGCAGCCTGGTTCCTAACAAGCCGCGCACTGCAATGAAGAGTAGCCGCCGCTGGGGGCAACTAGAGAAAGCCGGCAGGCGGCAACCAAGACCCAATGCGGCCAAAAATAAATAAATTAATAAATTAATTTTTTAAAAAAAGTAGTACTTACATAAGGAGGTAACAAGTCCTCTTAAAATAGTAAGAAGTGAAAAGTATTAGTATAACTTTTCCGCCTAATGGTCACCCGACTATTAAATGAATTACAAATGTTGATGGAATCATAATTTTATATAATACATAAAGAACACTATGATTTCCTGTGATTTTTTTGTTGTTGTTCTTTTGATGCTCCCAAACAAGCAGCTGTGCAGGGAACTGAGAAGCAACTGATATTCCTTAACTATGGTTTCAGAGGCATACAAGTTTGACATTTTGTTTTGCTTTGCTTTTTGAGGATAAACTCCCTCACTTGTCCAGACTACATTCCATGTCTCTGGAAATTCCTAGGGACAAGAAAATTAGGTACTGTGAGCTCTGCCTTCTAAACAGAGCATTCTCTGTTCTGCGTGAAATGTTGATATAAAAGCGAGATTAGCTTGGGCAGAACAGGTCAAAAGCCTACTGAGTTGCAGTCCAAGACATGGACATTTTCTGCCCCTCTTCCGCAGCGAGAGGCCATGTGACTTGGTGTGTCAAATATTTCAGATGTTAGTATGTCCTGACCATGTGGAATCACTGAATTTTGGCAGTATTTTTTAAAACCGGGAAAAGTTGTGCGATTGTAATTCCAATTATCAGTGTTTCGGGTTGGCGGTGGGTGGGGTGGGGTGGCATTTCCACCACCTTGAAAAGTCATTTAAAGTACGTGGGATAGTAGAGGCCGGACCTTTGGGGAACTTAAACCCAGAGACTTTGTAGCTTACTGATGGAGAGAACTCATACGGCTTCAGGTGTTATTAATTCTGGAATGTGTTTACGGGGGGCCCAAATCAGCTTTTATCCCTTTTAGGAACTCGTACACAATTCTGCAAGCTAAAGGCCCATCCTAGGCAAGAGATGCCAACGCCTCGGAAATCGGAATCTGAGTCGAGCCCGTTCTCGGAGATGACTCCGCATTTGAAACTTCCCTCAGTCCGAGCGCGCCAGGGCCAGGAAGCTGGGCCACGTGACCGGCTCTCCTCCGCGGCCATTCCTAGCGGGGCAACAGCCAGCGCCCCTTCCGCATTTCGTATCCCCTCCAGCGCGCGACGGCGCATAAATGCCCGACGGGAGGCGATCCCAGCTAGCTCTGGACTCCTGTGTCACCAGAACTCACGCGTTTTCCAGCAATGCTTACCAAGTTCCTCATCCCAAAGCAGGTGCAGGGGACTTCCGCCTGGGTGCCGACCACGTGATCACGCGAGACTTGGGGAGACAGCAGTCCAACTTCACTACTTAAGTCCCCGGGCCCTGCCCTCACAACAGCCTTCACTGCGCGTGACGAGGCGCGGCGTCCTCCGCCCCGGCGCGCCTGCGCACGCGGCTCTCGCGGTGTCTCGCGCTCAGACCCGCCCACCTCTGCCCCCGCCCCTTCCGCCCCTCCCTCCCCCTCCGCCCTGTCTCTCGGCGGCAGCGGCGGTGGCGGCGGCTCGCGCAGCTTGTTGGCTCACTATATAAAGGGGAGAAGCGGGCGGACCGGACGGCTGGAGCTGCAGCCGGTGGCGGCAGCGGCGGCGCGGGGAGCGGCGACCGGTGGTGGTTTCCCTCCTTGGTGCGGGGTGGGGAGCGGGCAACGCCCCCCAGGACCCCTGAAGGGTCGTGGCCTTTTTTTTTTAAGGGCGATTCTCGAGTTTTTAGCTCCGAGGACTGCTCTCCTCCTCTACCTCCTCTCACCGCTCCCCTCTCCTCCGTCAGGATACGATTTTGTTTGAAAAATTTTTCCCCCCAATTTTGCGGTGGCTTGGGTCACCCTCCGGGTGTTCTTTTTTTGTTTGTTTTTGTTTTTATCTTTTCTCGGGGTTGCCCCCCTCTTGTTTGTGTTGTGTGTGGAAATGGCGAACTCGGCAAATACAAACACCGTGGTAAGGACGTGGTTGGTGGCCGGCGGGGGCTTCGTTCAGGCGGCAGCAACGGCCGGACCGGGCGGGGGCGGGGACGGCCGCGACTCCCGGCCTCGACTCTCTTCAGCCGCCCGCGCGGCCGCCGCCGCCGCCGCCGCTTCCCGCCTCAGGCGGAGCGGGCCGGTGCGCCGGGCGGCGGGCGCGGGGGGGTGCCGAGGCTCGCGGCCGCGGCGGCGGGGAGGGCGGGGGCGCCTGCTGGGCCTGGGGCCGCCGCGGGGCGGTTGGGCCGGGGCGAGCGCGCGGCCCCGGCCCCAGACCCCGGCCTCCAGGAGGGAGGGCGGGAGGGGCGCCGCCGCTTCTCCCCGAAGCGGGCCCGGCCGCGCCGGCTGGAGGAGGGCTCCCGGAGCAGCCTCAAAACAAAAACCGTGTTTGGGGAGCTGGGCGAATCCCCAAGACCCACCGCGATCCACTTTAACGCAGTGAAAGGTTAATGACTACTTCGGGGGTTACTTTGGGCGTTTTGGCGGTTGTGCTTAAAGAGCCTTCATTGGGGCCATTTTATGTTTAAAAAAAAAAAAAAGGACGAAGGTTGAAAAGCACTTATCTCGGTTCCTTCCGAATCGGTAAAATGGCGAAGGGGAAGCAAAACCCCCATCGTATCTTCGACTAGCAAAAGCACCAAAACAAACAAAGCCTACAGTAGTGGTCAAAGTGCCCCGCTTTCGCCTTGAAATTTGCCTACTTCTCACCGTTTGTCCCTTTTTTCTTACTTGCGATCACGTAGGTTTGCAAAAAGCAGTCACATAAATAACCTTTTCAGTCACCAACGCAAAATGTGATCACTAGCCCACCCCACTCTCTTATTTTTATTATGACAATAAAACACTTTTTTGCCCGGTCCCAAATGCAGACAAGCCCACGGCAGCCCGGCTCCGTACCGTTGACGACTCGGGTCGATCCATCATGGCTGCGGCCGCTTACCCTGCTTTTCAGTCCCTGAGCCTTGTGGTCCTCCTCCCTTTGGCTGCCCTGTTTATATAGAGCCATTGCCGCTCTCTAATATAGACTCTGCCAGGATGGGAAGGTGCTTTTCAGGCCTACGTCACCGCCTCTCCATTTAAACACCAGATCCGGCTTTAAATAGTGAGAGCTGCTGAGAGCGGGGCTGGGAGGTGCGTGCTCCCGAGGCGAGAGGCTGGCGCGTGCAGAGCTCAGTTTATTCCCAAATCCTTACCGTACACTGTAATTTCGTGTCCAACCGGGCCTGCTTTTACAGCCCCAAGTTTTTGTTTTCATACAGCAGCTGGGATTTGCGGTCTTTGATAGGGGAAAATAGACTTGCCATCCTCTTTTATTTTATTTTTATTTTTTAAAGAGAATTTAAGCTCAGATGTCTAATCGTTCTTGTATTCAGAAGATGCATGCATTATTGTCGGTAATTTTTTTTTGGAAAAGTTTTCTACATTAATTGTTAGCTGTGGAGGATTTGATTTTGGTAGTATTTTGTTTATCACGTATTCAGGAAATTTTAGAAATATAGCTCCTAATATTTCATTATGTTTTCCTATAATAAATATTTGAGATACGAAGCTTTTCAAAGAAATAGTAAGTGCCTAAAGCTTCGACGTAGGACCTATGTCTACAGTACATTTATGGATCGGGGAATTGTGAGTAATTTGCTTAGTGCAAACTGGGTATTAAAAAATTAAAATTATAAGTAGACGGTGTTTTTGCTGCATTGGATGTTAATATGATATCCAATATAGAAATTAATCCAACTTATTTTCCAGTATTGTACCAGGTACTAACACTTTTGAAAGAAATGCTTTAATCATTAGATAATGGCACTAATGGCCCTTTAATTTACGAATTTTTAAGTTTGGAATATCTGGTTTTTGAAAACTAGGACAAACCTAAATTAATGTGTATTTCATAAAAGGCAAAAACTTTGGCTTAAGTACAGTTTAGTATTTTAAATAATAATTCAGAAATTGCTTATTTCAAATAATGCCTATGTACTCACATACTTTGAAAAACGTCAGTATTTTGCGCGCTTTTTAACTCTTGAACAATTTTAAATTGCGTATACTTCATGAATAATACACATTTCCCTTTCTTTAACTACAGTGCATATGAATCCATTAAGTGGTCAAGTTGTGGGTTAATTAAAGCACAAAAGCAAAATCTTAAAGCAAGATTGATTCATTAAGTAGGGAGTGCCAGAAGAAAGCACATTGTACCTATAAATGTGTGGATATCCAAGCAGAATATTTTTAGGGATGACCGACTTCAGAAACACCAGAACAACATCTATTTTGCTGAAAAAATACTTTATATCGTCAATTTGAGATTTATACTACCAATTTAAAATTACTCTATCTTTATAATGCCTTGAGTCATTGGTTTAAAAAAAAACACTTTATAAATGTATTTTTGTAATTCAGTAGTTGAATTGCCATAGATAAGGTGATACCCATAGTCAGATAGACTTTCCTTTATATATAGAATCAGAATGCTAACATAAGGAGGCACTGTAGAGATGCAGAAATCACATGAATAATTTTAGTTCACAGAGGCAGATTTGGCAAAATAAAAAGCAGGTGAGTGAGTGGAACGGCAAAGGTGAGAAACTAGATACATGAATTGTTTTTCTGGTTGTAATGAAAAGGAACAAATAGTTTTTAATGGTTGAGGTAAGTTGTATAGAGGAACTCATTATTTATATTTTTGGCTGGACAAGAACACATAAGAGGTTTCCCCTGTGATAACAGTATTGCTGGGAGAGTTGCTAATGAAACATTTATTTCTGTTTGAGGTTTGGTTATGAGAGCAAACCCTTGGTTTTATTGGGTAAGCAGTAATTTTTAAGCAAGATATAAAACACAGATAATGACAAAGTATTAAAATAAAAAGGCTGTTGATCTTAGCTCTGCGTGATAATGGATAAGATTTATAGCAAGGCATCTCTGGTTTTACAGTCTGACAAGCAAACTTCCTTTTGTCCATTAAAAATAGGATGTGGGTTGGGCAAAGTCTTCCGTCTCTTACCTTTTGGTTTTTAAAAAGTACTTTATGCTTTTAAAGTGCTTTCACATCTATTCTCATTTTATTTTTCTGGCAGCCTTCTAAAAGCAAGCTTCCCCCCAAGTAATGCCAACAATAATAGTTACAATAATAATAGTTTAAAAATAAATATCGAGGCTGCTTATAGTTCTATTCCATAGCATCATCTGGGCAGTAGTAGGAGAGAAATCCTGGAAAAGAGATCATTGTGTCTTGTTCCTCTGAGACTTTGAGACCTGTTATTGTGGTTATATGAACAGCTTGATGGTATAATTTAAAGGTACAGACTGGGTAACAAAAACTAAAATTAGGTGATTTTTAAATTTGAATACTTATTAGGTTGCAGATTATTACCAGGCAAATCACAGGACATAAGTTTCTGTTAAGACAGCGATGACGTTAGGAGATACAACGGGTTAAACCAAGCAAGGAATAATAAAAACCAGACATAGCAACCCATAAAACTATATCGTTGGATATAGTCAAAACACATTACGTGTTTGGACTATAACAACATGGGAAATTACAACTGGAAACTGTATAGACCTTGTATCTGTGATGATCTTCTGTATATGAATTGTATTAAACAGTCGTAAAACCTTTATTAAAATATGCAGTCATCAAATAATTCATTTTAACTAAGGCAACTGATGTTTATGGGACTGGCCATACCTTTAAAGTTACATCTTCTAAAATAAGTTTTAGAGAGTTGGAAAAGGGACTGTTGTATTACATTTGTTTTGAATTTGTGAAAATGTTATATATTTTAATATGTGATAAGCAGTGTTTTTCAGCAGTCTTTTATTTTCCCTTTAAAGCCTAAATTATACAGATCTGTGATTGAAGATGTAATTAATGATGTGAGAGACATCTTTTTGGATGATGGAGTCGATGAACAAGTTCTGATGGAACTAAAAACTGTGAGTTTGCTGCTTTTTTTTTTTTTTTAACATTCTCTTCAGTCAGAAACTATACTCCATAATTTTGCCGTATGATGACCATTTGACTTTGTTGCAGGAAGCAGTATAGTTATGTGAAGGGTGCTGGTTTTGAATCCCAGCTACCATCCATTCTTCCTCTGACCTTAGGCAAACTGCTTATATTTCAGTTTCCTTATATGTGAGATGAGAATTAGTAGTACTTACCTTTTAGTCTTGTTTTGAGGATTAAATGTAATGACTATATAAAGTGTTTAGCAAAGTGCCTGGCAATAGTATTAGCTATTATTAATGGGCAGTTAATATCCATTTATGTTTTAATTACTTGACATTCCTGTAAGGTTTTTTTTTACTTTTTCTTTTTTTGTGGTCTTAATGCACTGGTATTCTAAAATGTATGTTGTGGAGATTAAGTGCTTGATAAATTTCATGTTCTGGAGTCTGATTCTCTATGTGGGCCAAATATTTGGTTTACAATGTATTCTAGTTTGGGAGCTGCTTTTCTGCCTCTTCTATTTACTTGGATTTAAGCAGAAATATATAGATACTTTTATTTAGCATTTGTGTTTTCTTGATGGTGTAATGACTCATGAAATCATGGAATATTTTTGCCTTACTGCTCAGAACAGTGGTTCTCAAAATATGGTCAGTGGACTTCCCCACAGGCTCTTTCAGGGGTCTATGCGGTTGGACAGATGCCCAAATCTGAATAATCATAGTATGTTTGTCATATTTCCAGTAAAAGTTGTATTCCATGAAAAAAGTGACCAGTTAAACTTGGAACTCAAATGTACAAGTGCTTTTCCTTGAGATAACTGTTCCATATGCAGCAGAAGGGCTTTAGGCATGCTTCCCATTTTGATGTACCAAGTATTAAAAAGATGTTTACGTAAAGATTGAGATGAGATCATTGTTGATATTAAGACATGCAATTGTTTGATATTCTATTCATGATATTCTACAATGAAATGTGTTAACATATGGCATATCTGCATACTTCACTGAACTCATATTTTCCATTTAATTGAAGAGTTTGAAAAGTTAATTGGTATATAGTTTCAGATTGTACATTGCAGCTAACTGTTAAGAAACCATCACTTAAAATACTTTATCCTTTCCCAACTACTTAGCTATGAGAAGGCAGATTTTCTTCATATACATCAACGAAAGAAAACTGAATGTAGAAGCAGATATGAGAATCCAGCTATTTTCCTTTTAAGCCATTTCTCACGAAATTTTTTTGGAAGATATGGTTATTTTCTTTTTTTTTTTTTTTTTTTTTTTTTCTTTTTGCGGTACGCAGGCCTCTCACCGCTGTGGCCTCTCCCATTGCGGAACACAGGCTCCGGACGCGCAGGCTCAGCGGCCATGGCTCACGGGCCCAGCCGCTCCGCGGCATGTGGGATTCTCCCGGACCGGGGCAGGAACCCGTGTCCCCTCCATCGGCAGGCGGACTCTCAACCACTGCGCCACCAGGGAAGCCCCTGGTTATTTTCATTGAAAGTATTTATGTTAACATGTAATGGATACGTTGTTTTTTCTTTTCTTCTTTACTCCTCTGGATCTTATTTTTTAAATGGAAATGCATTTCTTTTATTTATTTTATTTTACTTTTGGCTGTGTTGGTTTTTTGTTTCTGTGTGAGGGCTTTCTCTAATTGTGGCGAGCGGGGGCCACTCTTCATCGTGGTGCGCGGGCCTCTCACTATCGCGGCATCTCTTGTTGCGGAGCACAGGCTCCAGACGCGCAGGCTCAGTAGTTGTGGCTCATGGGCCTAGTTGCTCCGTGGCATGTGGGATCTTCCCAGACCAGGGCTCTAACCCGTGTCCCCTGCATTAGCAGGCAGAATCTCAACCACTGCGCCACCAGGGAAGCCCACGTTGTTATTTTTAAATGTCAACATTAAAAAAAAATCTTATTTAAAATTTCATAAAAGTTCATTGAGGTCCTCATTAATTTGTAAAAATGATAAAGGACTCAGACTAAAAAGTTTTAGAACTGCTGGCTTAGAGATTGGGAATTGAGCTCCTTTAGAGCTATGTATAAATAAGTAATCACAGTTAATGAATGCTAAGGAACATTTGTTGTGGTCTTATTTATCCATTCAACAGAGGTGTGGAGGCTGCAATTTAGCAACTTACTATTTTAAATAAAGCGAATCTCACCTGTGTTGTGGTGATAAAATATATCTTAGAATGTTGCAGCATCTGTGGGCAGCTTCTATAGAATTTTCAATATGAATCTGCCCCTGTGAGGAAGGGAAAATATAGGTTTGAATGAGATGAGGAAATATTTTTTTACCTTGTGAGAAATGTAATGGTTACTGAAAGTGAAGAGCAGGTATTTAAAAATACAAGTGAAGGAATGCCAACTCTGGAGACATGAGTTGGAAGAATAGCAATATAAACTACTCAAACACATAAATTATCTCAGGGATATGAATAAGAAGAGAATAAGCTTATTTTGATTCCTTCATGTTACATGTAATGAATATTTTATAAATATGTTATACCCTCATAATGGTTGTCCTTGTAGATCTGTGATCTTATGTAGAAGGTACAGCATTTTTAGGTGCAAAAAATTAGTCCCAAAGGCTTTAATTTGTGGTACGTCAAACTAGTGGTCAATCCAAGTTGTTATCTCCTCTTGCTTTTCACAGAGTCTGTTGATATTTTCCTACTGGTCCCAGTTAGAATCAAGGTGTTTTTTCCAAACAGAATGAGCTATCTTTGAGACCAAATAGCTCCACCTGCATTTTTAGTACATAAGACTTTATACATGTATACACATATATACAGATATATGTACATATAATATAGTATAATAGTATAAAAAAGTAATATCTGTGTTTTATAGGTTATGCACTGATTTTTTGTTTAATGCTTAGTTTTCTATGACAAAAATTGTGACTTATTCAACTTTGAATCCCCAACCTCTGCCACAATGCCTGGCATATGTGGTTGGCGTTCAGTAAATACTTAATTAAACAAATTAATAACATGTTGCTCCAGAATCTAACTGAAAAAGGTAGTTTAATGTTTTTGTTGTTTTTTAAACGGGGCATACTCTTTTATTCTGGGTTGTAGCTGAATTTAAATATAAAACTATTCGACTGAAATGAGTTTGTTATTTTAATTCTCTGCACTAAATTTCTTCAGGATCTCATTAGAATTTCCAGAATGTGCCCTAGTTTTAACAGTCTGACAGCTAGCATTATGCAGTAGAACTTTCTGTGGTGATGAAAATGTTCTATATCTGTGCTCTCCAGTATGGTAACCACTAGCCACATGTGGCTATTAAACACTTGAAATATGGTTAGTGGAACTGAAGAACTGAATTTTTATTTAATTATAATTAATTTCACTTTAAATCACCACGTGTGGCTAGTGGCTACTGTATTAGACCTTGTAGGTTTGGATATTCTTGCTAATGAAAACTAACAATATTTCATATTTTAAGCTTTATAAAGGACTCTGTCATTAGTTCTATCCCCTTTATCACCATTTTATAGTGTTTCACAAACTTCTATCAAAAGCTTCCAAACGGCTGTGAAGGATACTGTGGTGTATTAGATTATGAATTAAGATGAGTAATGAGAGTGCCTGTAATTTGAAGTTTAACTAGATAATTCAGAAAGGGACCTTCTACATTAAAATAATTCAACCTGATTCTTGAGGTTATCTGTTAACACTGTGGGTCTCCTTTAATGTATGAACTGTGGGAGATGGAAAAGATGCATAAAGCACAATGTTGGTTTTCTTGCTTTTTTCTCTAATTGAAGTGTAATTGACCTACAACACTGTATTAGTTCTAGGTGCACAACATAGTGATTCAGGATTTCTATACATTAGAAAATGATCACCACTTGATTTTCAATAAAGCTATATTTGAATGTAAATTGTGTTTTAGATTGGTAAATGACTATGGGTGGAAATGACAGTCTAGAAGTCCTCTTCAAAGTAAGTGATAAAATTATCCTGATTTCTAAACTGTCAGACCCACCCCTATCCAAATAGCAAGTACAATGGGAGATAGAAAACATGGCCTCTCAATAAAACAAAGTGAGAAGAATTCCTCATTTGGAGACAAATCTGAAAAAGTTAATCTGCCCCTAGATCTGTTTTCTCATCCTTGGCACTACTGACATTTTGGACCTGTTAATTCTTTGTTGTAGAAGGCTAGTTATCGTAGGATATTAGCAGCATAACTGATCTCTGCCCACTAGATGCCAGTAGCACCCCTTAGTTCTGACAACCAAAAATATCTCCAGACATTGCCAAATGCCCCCGGGGCAGAAGGGGAAAAACTACCCCTGATTGAGAACCACTATTCTAAATATACTCTAGTTGTATATAAATACTTGAACCATAAGTTGAACGATGATCTACTGTGCTACATCATTTGGCCTTGGGGAAAGCTCTGTTCCCCAACATCATTTCTAAAGAGCCCAAAAATTCAATTGTCTTATGTTTTATCCAGGAGCTAGTTGTTATTGTGAGAGTAGGAGAATCCTTTAGAATTTCTAGCCCAGCATACTGCCAGGGAGCAGTAGATCTGGTAACGTTTTATAGATCCAAAAATGGAATAAATATGCTTTGACAGATCATTTAGCAAGTGGTAGAGACTTGAAGCTAAGCCTTTTGTCTCCAGATAAGGAAGGTACCAGAGTTGTGACTAGACCTGCTCTGATAGCAGCAGTACAGTTTAGAGATTAGAACTTTGGACCAGAGCTGGGATTACGGTGAGGCAAGTGAGGGCCTAGAGTCCAAAATTTAAACTTTAAATTTAAAATTTAAAGGACATTTACTCTTCACTCTCAGGGTCCAGCCCTGTTGAGTCAGATTGCCTGGATTGTATGATGGTTTTGCCTGCTGTTAGTTGGTGATCTTGGATAAGGCACCTAACTTCTTGTTCCTCAGGCTCTTTTTCTGTAAAAAGGAGATAATAATAATGTCTATTTTAAAGAATTTTTGTGAAAAACGAGTGTACACGGAAAGTACTTAAGTGCACGTTAAGAATTCAGTGTTAGTCTAGTAAACATGATGGGCATAACATGATGCATATCCAAATCATTTTGGGAATAGAAAATGAATTTTCTCCATATCTAATTCCGGAGACCTGGCAAAGATTGTTGAAATAGGACTGCCAGAAACAATAGCTATGGTGTTGGGGGGAAAAAGTACTATAAAAATGTGGAGAAAAGAGTTCTTCCTATTTTCTAAGCTAGCTAAATAAATAAATACATACATAAATAACAATTCAGTATTCTTGGTAGTCTTTAGGGGTATTAATATCATTACTGTTGCCAAAACAGTATTACATTATTTTAAACAGATGATATTTTAAAAATAAAATATTTTGATAAATAAAATTATTTTAAAATGAAATTGGAGAGAAACAGAAAACATTCAACTAATTTGAACTTTACATTATTTGATATTATAAGCGTAATGCTAAATATTTGTATGGTATTATTCTTGTATTTTTCACATTACCTAGAACGGTATTTGGTACTTAGTAAATATGGATTCTCAGTGGCCCACTACTCCAGCATCCCCTTGCTCCCCCAGAAGCAGTTTGAAATGTGTGGTTCCATGTTTGCTTGTTATAATGACTAATGGGCATCTTTGGCATTTAGTAGGCTAGAGGAGTGTTGTATTTCATGTACACTTCTTGTGGTAATACCCTGTAAATAAAGAGTTATTCTGCCTAAAATGTTGGTAGCATTTTTATAGAGAAACTACCTTAGAAAACAAGTTCGTTTTCCATTCTTTTTGAAATTAATATTAAATTTCTGATAAGTTCTTAGTCATTTTGTTAGGTTATGAATAAGACATAGTCTCTACTCTGAAGGAGTTCATACTTTAATAGAGAAGGTAGACTTAGTGTGAAAAGTGTACCAATAGAAATATCTCTAAGGTATAGAGGCAGTGAGTGATTTCTTCGCGGCTATGTGACTTTGCATTTGCATTCTTTGGGGAATTGTGTGGGAAGACTGTCAATAAGGAGTAGTTTACGAAAGTTTAGACAGGAGGTATGTATGCTATATTCAGGGAACTGCAAGTAGTTTGGAAAATAGAGTGCAAGTTATAGCAGCAGTTGGAGAAGTTAACATAATATTGCATTAAGGAGCTTGGTCTTTAGAGTGAGAAGGATTCTCTGGGTTGCTAGTTAAAAGACAGAGTTTTGGACTTCTGCTTCAAACAGTCTCAGTTGATAGGGGTACAGTCTGACATTTAAAAAGAAAAATTTGATTGCATTTACCAAAAACTCTAAATTAACTTTTAATAATGCATTAATGGGTTGCAGTCTGCAGTTTGAAAAGTATTGGTTTATACTTTAAAGCAGTGGCTTTCACTTTAGTGTACATCACAATAACCTGGATAGGTTATTAAAACAGATTCCTGGCTCTAACTCCAGAGTTGCTGATGCGATGGGGTGGGGCCTTAGAATTGGTATGTCTGACAAGTTCCCAGGTGATACTGATGTTATTGGTCCAGGATCACATTTTGAGGACCACTGATTTATAGAGAATAGATTGGAAGCACAAGTTTCCACTAAAATGTAGGCTCTGTAAGGACAAAGATCTTTGTCAGATTTGTTCACTGTCTGTTCTCAATGCCACTGACAGTGTCTAGCTGGGAGGTATTCAATAATTATGTGTAGAATGTATGATTTGAAGCAGGGAGCTCAATTAGCTTAGTCATTAACACTTTGCAGTAATACTGATGGGAGGAAGGGACTTGAACTGGGGCCATTATAGTAGGGATAGATTGGAATAATGCTTTGGGAAGGAAATTGACAATAATGATAGGGCATTGGGGTACATTCTGACTCACAGATCATTGACTTTGGAGACTAGGCGAGTAGTGGTACGCAGCACTTAGCACATAATGTGTATTTGTTAATATTTACCATTGTCATGGAAGCTTCATTAAAGTGATGGGTCAGGATTGCAGTGGGAAGACCAATTGGAGGTGATAAAAACTGAAGCTTTAAATTTAGAAAATTATGGTTTAAAGACCTGTTTCTTTCTTTCTTTCTTTCTTCTTTCTTTCTGTTTCTTTATTTTTTTTTAATATTTTATTTATTTTTATTTTTGGCTGTGTTGGGTCTTACTTGCAGCACGTGGGATCTTCGTTGCTGTGTGCAGGATCTTTTCTTGCGGTGCTCGAGCTCTTTGTTGCGGCATGCGGGCTTCTTTCTAGTCATGGTGTGTGGGTTTTCTCTCTCTAGTTGTGGCACACAGGCTCCAGAGCACATGGGCTCTGTAGTTGTAGTGCATGGGCTCCAGAGCGTGTGGGCTCTGTAGTTTGCGCCATGCGGACTCTAGTTGCGGCGTGCGGGCTCAGTAGTTGTGGTGCGTGTGGGCTTAGTTGCCCTGGGGCATGTGGGATCTTAGTTCCCTGTCCAGGGATTGAACCCGCGTCCCCTGTGTCGGAAGGTGGATTCTTTACCACTGGACCACCAGGGAATTCCCTTAAAGACCTGTTTCTTAAAGCATTAATTAATAGTACTTTTTGCACCTTGATTTTGGCCTACAAGAAGCGAGGTTTTGTTTTGTTTTGAAACAGGGAAAAGAAGTGTAAACAGTTTGGGTGATAACTGTTTGGGAGGCTTACCTATATAGCCTTACTATATAATACATTTAGAGTGTATTTTAGAGTGTAGAGTGTATTTTATTCAGTGTCTGAGCCTATTTTGTATTGTGTGTTATGCTAGGTGCCCACTTTATAGAAATGAACCAGACAAAACTTGGGCTCTCAAAAAGTAGTTTTTTGTTACCCTAGGAAGAACCCTAGCTGTTTTTAGTCTGGGATTTGCACCGACTTAGATTTACTAGCTGGAAGTTCATTTAGAAGTAATCTAATTCAGCTTGTTCCCTTTTTAGATGAGTAAAATGCCCAGGGAAGATAAATAATTTGTCCACCAAGCCGTTTAGTGGCCAAACCAGGACTAATTGGGTTCCTGACTTCTGTTGTAATGCTTTATTACACAATTAATACCACCACTACAATAATTGTAATAACTAACATTTATTGATGACTGACTTTATGCTAGAGTCTGATAAATGTTTTACATGGAAATCTTATTTACTCCTCACAACAGCGCATGAAATAGATACTGTTACTGTCTCTGTAAGGAAAGTCTTCAGGTGAACCTAAATACTGAGACTGCTAAGGGAATGGTTGCTCTGGGAAATTGACCTTTAGTTTGCTTTTTCCCTAAATTGTTAGAGATGTGCTGGAATTGTTATTAACATGTAGATCTAGAATTTCTAGAACAGTTGGAAGTGTCAGCAGTTTATAAAAATCCCTGTTAGTATGGCAAAGGGAGCTTTTTGAAGGATCTGATAGAAGCCTTACATGAGTTAGGCAATATCCCAAGAGTAGATCCTAGGGGAGAAAACAAAGTATCTGTAGATCCTTGTGTACAGAATGACTGAATTAAATTTTATATGTATGTTTAAGGAATGGTTTGTAACTTTCTTGGGCAGTTTTTTTATAAGAGCTCTATAGATTGAACACTAAACCTTGTAGAGAGGAAATGTGTGTTAGGTAGAAGGATGGAATAGTTGTAAATATATTCTTTTACTTCCTTGTTTTTGCCCACTTTTGATTTTTTTTTCCTTCATCACAGAAGCTGTCCAAGGGAGAGATGAGAAAATAGAAGTGGTTAAGCAAAAAAGGATTGTCAATCCTTGTCATAATGAAAGAGGGAAGGGAATTTCAAGAAGTGTGGAGGGTTGAGAATACCTCTGAAAGCATATTAGGCATTGCTGTTTCTTTTTCCTTATGTAGGGTTGGACAGATAGAAAGGTAGGGTTTTCTAACCTGAGGACTGCCTCTATAATGTTTCTCATAGTTCAAGGAAAGATGAATTTATGTTTTATATGTTATTTAAAAGTTAGGAAAGAAAGATTTCCATAAAATAGCTAACAATGGATTTGATACTAAAAAGGATGATTTTTGATTACTGAAAAATTGCTTATATGAAACTGCTTGGCAACCAAGGAATTACTATGGAAAGTTTGTTGCAGATATAAAAAGAAACAAAAGAATTCTTCAGTACTCTTAAGTAACAAAAATGAGGTTTGATACTTTAAAAATTAGTTTTCCTTATGGCATACACTTGGGTAAGAATTAGAGATTTGTAGATTTATCAGTTTTGAAAATGTAAGAATTTTATAAACTGACTAATAAAGTATGTTTTATCCATATGTCCAGCCTTGTTTTCCCTGACTCTTACTTAGAAATCTTTAATATTCTTTGCTTTAGTTATGGGAGAATAAACTAATGCAGTCTAGGGCAGTAGATGGATTTCATTCAGAAGAGCAGCAGCTTTTACTGCAAGTTCAACAGCAGCAGCAACCCCAGCAGCAGCAGCATCACCACCACCATCACCACCAGGCCCAACCGCAGCAGACAGTACCTCAGCAAGCGCAGACCCAGCAGGTCCTTATTCCTGCGTCACAGCAAGGTGAGGCCGTCTGATCCTACTGCAACTTGGAAATGAAAGTTGTCATTTCAAAGAAGAGAAACACTCTGGGTGTCTCCTTTCTATTGGCTGAGGGGGTTGTATCTGTGTGTGTATAAAATGTGGTTCCTATTTATGTAGTAATGATACACAAGTAATTCACTAACAGAAAGCTTAAAATGATATTCAGGTAAGTATATTATTACTTTTTTTAGATGGCTACACAATGGTGGATTTCCTAAGTCAGATCTATAAAGGTTTATTTACTAAGGGTTTCATTATTTTATATAGTAGAATCATTACTTTCTTTGAAACTGATTTGTTCCTACAAAGGCATTTGAGTTTAGTTTTTATAAATAAACACTGGAAGGTTTTTGTAACTATACTTTGGCAATCTGAAATTCTAATTCCTTATTAATTTATGTAGTTAAATTGACTGAATTAGATTTCCTTTAAGTGAAGAATGGATATATGACATCTTAATTTTATATTATGTGGTTTAAAGATAAGAAAAAACAAGTATTTATAGACTGCATCCATAGTGCCTTGTACCGTGCAAGTCATTTTATAGGTTTTGTTTCACTGCAGTCTAATAGAGGCTCTGTGAAGTAGCTCTTAAAACATCACAACTGAGGAAAATCTGGGCCCTGAAAAGGCTTAGAAGCTTGATCCTCTACATGGAGTATTTTCTGTCATGACAAACATTTGTTCAGTTATAAAACTTCCTAGGCCTTCAAGTTTTGTAAATCTTGTCAGAGAGGAGAATAAAGATAAATGAAAACTTCATCTTAAGGTAACTTGAGTTACTCATTGGTCTCATCTGAGAGTGTATGTAAGACTTAAAACTGATATTGATGCACATTAGAAATGTCTGTTTGAGTTATTTTACTGTTTATATCAAATAAGACTTAATATTTGATTTTACTCTGTACCTTGCGTCAAGTAATTTTATTCTTTTAATGTTTCTTGATGACCGTTCCTCCTATTGCCTTCAGGCCTGGCACTAGGATTTTAGGTTATCATAAATTAAAATTTGATTTTCTTCACTCAGAGAATATTAGGATAATGGGATTATCTATTTATTCTCTGAAATTTGCGGAATCAAACACTTAGTTCCTTTTATGCTTACGTGATATTGCCATTATTTATGATTTGTGTTTTTTAAAAAGTTGATGGAAATAAGATACTGGAAACTGTCAAATTGGGAGAACAAGTTTTTTTTTTTTTTTTTTTGCGGTAAGCAGGCCTCTCACTGTTGTGGCCTCTCCCCTCGCGGAGCACAGGCTCCGGATGCGCAGGCCCAGCGGCCAGTGGCTCAAGGGCCCAGCCGCTCTGCGCCATGTGGGATCCTCCCGGACCGGGGCACGAACCCGCGTCCCCTGCATTGGCAGGTGGACTCTCAACCACTGTGCCACCAGGGAAGCCTGGGAGAAAAAGATTTTATTTTTATTTTTATTTTTTTTTAAATATCTTTATTGGGGTATAATTGCTTTACAATGGTGTGTTAGTTTCTGCTTTATAACAAAGTGAATCAGTTATACATATACATATGTTCCCATATGTCTTCCCTCTTGCGTCTCCCTCCCTCCCACTCTCCCTATCCCACCCCTCCAGGCTGTCACAAAGCACCAAGCTAATATCCCTGTGCCTTGCGGCTGCTTCCCACTAGCTATCTACCTTACTACGTTTGTTAGTGTGTATATGTCCATGACTCTCTCTCGCCCTGTCAAAGCTCACCCCTCCCCCTCCCCATATCCTCAAGTCCGTTCTCCAGTAGGTCTGCGTCTTTATTCCTGTCTTACCCCTAGGTTCTTCATGACATTTTTTTCCCCTTAAATTCCATATATATGTGTTAGCATACGGTATTTGTCTTTTTCTTTCTGACTTACTTCACTCTGTATGACAGACTCTAGGTCTATCCATCTCATTACAAATAGCTCAATTTCATTTCTTTTTAAGGCTGAGTAATATTCCATTGTATATATGTGCCACATTTTCTTTATCCATTCATCCGATGATGGGCGCTTAGGTTGTTTCCATCTCCGGGCTATTGTAAATAGAGCTGCAATGAACATTTTGGTACATGACTCTTTTTGAATTTTGGTTTTCTCAGGATATATGCCCAGTAGTGGGATTGCTGGGTCATATGGTAATTCTATTTGTAGTTTTTTAAGGAACGTCCATACTGTTCTCCATAGTGGCTGAACCAATTCACATTCCCACCAGCAGTGCAAGAGTGTTCCCTTTTCTCCACACCCTCTCCAGCATTTATTGTTTCTAGATTTTTTGATGATGGCCATTCTGACTGGTGTGAGATGATATCTCATTGTAGTTTTGATTTGCATTTCTCTAATGATTAATGATGTTGAGCATTCTTTCATGTGTTTGTTGGCATTCTGTATATCTTCTTTGGAGAAATGTTTATTTAGGTCTTCTGCCCATTTTTGGATTGGGTTGTTTGTTTTTTTGTTATTGAGCTGCATGAGCTGCTTGTAAATTTTGGAGATTAATCCTTTGTCATTTGCTTCATTTGCAAATATTTTCTCCCATTCTAAGGGTTGTCTTTTGGTCTTGATTATGGTTTCCTTTGCTGTGCAAAAGCTTTGAAGTTTCATTAGGTCCCATTTGTTTATTTTTGTTTTTATTTCCATTACTCTAGGAGGTGGGTCAGAAAGGATCTTGCTGTGATTTATGTCATAGAGTGTTCTGCCTATGTTTTCCTCTAAGAGTTTGATAGTTTCTGGCCTTACATTTAGGTCTTTAATCCATTTTGAGCTTATTTTTGTGTATGGTGTTAGGGAGTGATCTAATCTCATACTTTTACATGTACCTGTCCAGTTTTCCCAGCACCATTTATTGAAGAGGCTGTCCTTTCTCCACTGTACATTCCTGCCACCTTTATCAAAGATAAGGTGTCCATATGTGCGTGGGTTTATCTCTGGGCTTTCTATCCTGTTCCATTGATCTATCTTTCTGTTTTGTGCCAGTACCATACTGTCTTGATTACTGTAGCTTTGTAGTGTAGTCTGAAGTCAGGGAACCTGATTCCTCCAGCTCCTTTTTTCGTTCTCAAGATTGCTTTGGCTATTCGGGGTCTTTTGTGTTTCCATACAAATTGTGAAATTTTTTGTTCTAGTTCTGTGAAAAATGCCAGTGGTAGTTTGATAGGGATTGCATTGAATCTGTAGATTGCTTTGGGTAGTAGAGTCATTTTCACAATGTTGATTCTTCCCATCCAAGAACATGGTATATCTCTCCATCTATTTGTATCATCTTTAATTTCTTTCATCAGTGTCTTATAATTTTCTGCATACAGGTCTTTCGTCTCCTTAGGTAGGTTTATTCCTAGATATTTTATTCTTTTTGTTGCAATGGTAAATGGGAGTGTTTTCTTGATTTCACTTTCAGATTTTTCATCATTAGTATATAGGAATGCCAGAGATTTCTGTGCATTAACTTTGTATCCTGCTACTTTACCAAATTCATTGATTAGCTCTAGTAGTTTTCTGGTAGCATCTTTAGGATTCTCTATGTATAGTATCATGTCATCTGCAAACAGTGACAGCTTTACTTCTTCTTTTCCGATTTGGATTCCTTTTATTTCCTTTTCTTCTCTGATTGCTGTGGCTAAAACTTCCAAAACTATGTTGAATAATAGTGGTGAGAGTGGGCAACCTTGTCTTGTTCCTGATCTTAGTGGAAATGCTTTCAGTTTTTCACCATTGAGGATGATGTTTGCTGTGGGCTTGTCATATATGGCCTTTATTATGTTGAGGAAAGTTCCCTCTATGCCTACTTTCTGCAGGGTTTTTATCATAAATGGGTGTTGAATTTTGTCGAAAGCTTTCTCTGCATCTATTGAGATGATCATATGGTTTTTCTCCTTCAATTTGTTAATATGGTTTATCACATTGATAGATTTGCGTATATTGAAGAATCCTTGCATTCCTGGAATAAACCCCACTTGATCATGGTGTATGATCCTTTTAATGTGCTGTTGGATTCTGTTTGCTAGTATTTTGTTGAGGATTTTTGCATCTATGTTCATCAGTGATATTGGCCTGTAGTTTTCTTTTTTTGTGACATCCTTGTCTGGTTTTGGTATCAAGGTGATGGTGGCCTCGTAGAAGGAATTTGGGAGTGTTCCTCCCTCTGCTATATTTTGGAAGAGTTTGAGAAGGATAGGTGTTAGCTCTTCTCTAAACGTTTGATAGAATTCACCTGTGAAGCCATCTGGTCCTGGGCTTTTGTTTGTTGGAAGATTTTTCATCACAGTTTCAATTTCAGTGCTTGTGATTGGTCTGTTCATATTTTCTATTTCTTCCTGATTCAGTCTTGGCAGGTTGTGCATTTCTAAGAATTTGTCCATTTCTTCCAGATTGTCCATTTTATTGGCATAGAGTTGCTTGTAGTAATCTCTTATGATTTTTTTTATTTCTGCAGTGTCAGTTGTTACTTCTCCTTTTTCATTTCTAATTCTATTGATTTGAGTCTTCTCCCTTTTTTTCTTGATGAGTCTGGCTAGTGGTTTATCTATTTTGTTTATCTTCTCAAAGAACCACCTTTTAGTTTTATTGATCTTTGCTATCGTTTCCTTCATTTCTTTTTCATTTATTTCTGATCTGATTTTTATGATTTCTTTCCTTCTGCTAGCTTTGGGGTTTTTTTGTTCTTCTTTCTCTAATTGCTTGAGGTGCAAGGTTAGGTTGTTTATTCGAGATGTTTCCTGCTTCTTAAGGTGGGCTTGTATTGCTATAAACTTCCCCCTTAGAACTGCTTTTGCTGCATCCCATCGGTTTTGGGTCGTCGTGTCTCCATTGTCATTTGTTTCTAGGTATTTTTTTATTTCCTCTTTGATTTCTTCAGTGATCACTTCATTATTAAGTAGTGTATTGTTTAGCCTCCATGTGTTTGTATTTTTTACAGATCTTTTCCTGTAATTGATATCTAGTCTCATGGCGTTGTGGTCGGAAAAGATACTTGATACAATTTCAATTTTCTTAAATTTACCAAGGCTTGATTTGTGACCCAAGATATGATCTATCCTGGAGAATGTTCCATGAGCACTTGAGAAAAATGTGTATTCTGTTGTTTTTGGATGGAGTGTCCTATAAATATCAATTAAGTCCATCTTGTTTAATGTCTCATTTAAAGCTTGTGTTTCCTTATTTATTTTCATTTTGGATGATCTGTCCATGGGTGAAAGTGGGGTGTTAAAGTCCCCTACTATGAATGTGTTACTGTCGATCTCCCATTTTATGGCTGTTAGTATTTGCCTTATGTATTGAGGTGCTCCTATGTTGGGTGCATAAATATTTACAATTGTTATATCTTCTTCTTGGATCGATCCCTTGATCATTATGTAGTGTCCTTCTTTGTCTCTTGTAATAGTCCTTATTTTAAAGTCTATTTTGTCTGATATGAGAATTGCTACTCCAGCTTTCTTTTGGTTTCCATTTGCATGGAATATCTTTTTCCATCCCCTTATTTTCAGTCTGTATGTGTCTCTAGGTCTGAAGTGGGTCTCTTGTAGACAGCATATATAAGGGTCTTGTTTTTGTATCCATTCAGCCAATCTGTGTCTTTTGGTGGGAGCATTTAGTCCATTTACATTTAAGGTAATTATCGATATGTATGTTCCTATTCCCATTTTCTATATTGTTTTGGGTTCGTTATTATAGGTCTTTTCCTTCTCTTGTGTTCCTTGTCTAGAGAAGTTCCTTTAGCATTTGTTGTAAAGCTGGTTTGGTGGTGCTGAACTCTCTCAGCTTTTGCTTGTCTGTAAAGGTTTTAATTTCTCCATCAAATCTGAATGAGATCCTTGCTGGGTAGAGTAGTCTTGGTTGCAGGTTTTTCTCCTTCATCACTTTCAGTATGTCCTGCCACTCCCTTCTGGCTTGTAGGGTTTCTGCTGAGAGATCAGCTGTTAACCTTATGGGGATTCCCTTGTGTGTTATTTGTTGTTTTTCCCTTGCTGCTTTTAATATGCTTTCTTTGTATTTAATTTTTGACAGTTTGATTAATATGTGTCTTGGCGTATTTCTCCTTGGATTTATCCTGTATGGGACTCTCTGTGCTTCCTGGACTTGATTAACTATTTCCTTTCCCATATTAGGGAAGTTTTCAACTATAATCTCTTCAAATATTTTCTCAGTCCCTTTCTTTTTCTCTTCTTCTTCTGGAACCCCTATAATTCGAATGTTGGTGTGTTTAATGTTGTCCCAGAGGTCTCTGAGACTGTCCTCAGTTCTTTTCATTCTTTTTTCTTTATTCTGCTCTGCAGTAGTTATTTCCACTATTTTATCTTCCAGGTCACTTATCCGTTCTTCTGCCTCAGTTATTCTGTTATTGATCCCATCTAGAGTACTTTTAATTTCATTTATTGCATTGTTCATCATTGCTTGTTTCATCTTTATTTCTTCTAGGTCCTTGTTAACTGTTTCTTGCATTTTGTCCATTCTACTTCCAAGATTTCGGATCATCCTTACTATCATTATTCTGAATTCTTTTTCAGGTAGACTGCCTATTTCCTCTTCATTTGTTAGGTCTGGTGCATTTTTATCTTGCTCCTTCATCTGTGTGTTTTTCTGTCTTCTCATTTTGCTTATCTTACTGTGTTTGGGGTCTCCTTTTTGCAGGCTGCACGTTCGTAGTTCCCGTTGTTTTTGATGTCTGTCTCCAGTGGCTAAGGTTGTTTCAGTGGGTTGTGTAGGCTTCCTGGTGGAGGGGACTAGTGCCTGTGTTGTGGTGGATGAGGCTGGATCTTGTCTCTCTAGTGGGCAGGTTCACGTCTGGTGGTGTGTTTTGGGGTGTCTGTGGCCTTATTATGATTTTAGGCAGCCTCTCTGCTAATGGGTGGGGTTGTGTTCCTGTTTTGCTAGTTGTTTGACATAGGTTGTCTAGCATTGTGGATTGCTGGTCGTTGAGTGAAGCTGGGTGCTGGTGTTAAGATGGAGGTCACTGGGAGATTTCCGCCATTTAATATTATGTGGAGCTGGGAGGTCTCTTGTTGACCAGTGTCCTGAAGTTGGCTCTCCTACCTCAGAGGCAGAGCCCTGACTCCTGGCTGGAGCACCAAGAGCCTTTCATCCACACGGCTCAGAATAAAAGGGAGAAAAAGTAGAGAGAATTAGTAGAAGTATGAGGAAAGAAAGAAGGAAAGGAGGAAAGAAAGGAAGGAAGAAAGAAGCAAAGAAGGAAAGACAGGAGGGAGGGAGGGAGGAAGGAAGGAAGGAGGGAAAGAAGGAGAAAAGACAGAAAGAAAGAAGATACAGTAAAAATAAAATATAGTTTAATATAGTTATTGAATTAAAAAATATTTAGAAAAGAAAAAAAAAAAGGGACGGATAGAACCTTAGGACAAATGTTGGAAGCAAAGCTATACAGAGAAAATCTTACACAGAAGCATACACATACACCTTCACAAAAAGAGGTAAAGGGGGAAAAATCATAAATCTTGCTCTCAGAGACCACCTCCTCAATTTGGGGTGATTCGTTGTCTAAAGGAGGGAAGGAAGGAAGGAAAGAAAGAAAGAACGAAGGTAAAGTATAATAAAGTTATTACAATTAAAATTAATTATTGAGAAAAAAAATTTTTTTTAAAAACCATGGACGGATAGAGCCCTAGGACAAATGGTGGAAGGAAGAGTATACAGACAAGATCTCACACAGAAGCATACATGTACACATTCACAAAAAGAGGAAAAGGGAAAAAAATCATAGATCTCGCTCCTAAATTCCACCTCTTCAATTTGGGATCATTCCTTGTCTATTCAGGTATTCCACAGATGCAGGGTATATCAAGTTGATTGTGGAGCTTTAATCCGCTGCTTCTGAGGCTGCTGGGAGAGATTTCCCTTTCTCTTCTTTATTCTCACAGCTCACAGGAGCTCAGCTTTGGATTTGGCCCTGCCTCTGCGTGTAGGTCGCTGGAGGGCGTCTGTTTTTTGCTCAGACGGGACAGGGTTAAAGGAGCCGCTGATTCGGGGGCTCTGGCTCACTCAGGCGGGGGGTGGGGGGCGGAAGGAGGGGCACTGCGTGCGGGGCGGGCCTGCGGCGTCAGAGGCGGCGTGACGTTGCGGCAGAGGCCGGCGTGACGTTGCACCAGCCTGAGGCCCGCCGTGCGTTCTCCCGGGGAAGTTGTCCCTGGTTCCCGGGAACCTGGCAGTGGCGGGCTGCACAGGCTCCGCGGAAGAGGCGTGTGGAGAGTGACCTGTGCTCGCACACAGGCCCCTTGGTGGCGGCAGCAGCAGCCTTAGCGTCTCCCGCCCGTCTCTGGGGTCCGCGCTTTTAGCCGCGGCTCGCGCCCGTCTCTGGGGTTTGCGCTTTTAGCCGCGGCTCGCGCCCGTCTCTGGGGTTCGCGCTTTTAGCCGCGGCTCGCGCCCGTCTCTGGAGTTCCTTTAAGCAGCGCTCTTAAACCCCTCTCCTCGCGCACCAGGAAACAAAGAGGGAAGAAAAAGTCTCTTGCCTCTTAGGCAGGTGCAGGCTTTTCCCCGAACTCCCTCCCGGCTAGTCGTGGTGCACTAACCCCTTCAGGCTATGTTCAAGCCGCCAACCCCAGTCCTCTCCCTGCGCTCAGTCTAAAACCGAAACCCCAGCCTCAGCTCGCAGCCCCGCCCGCCCCGGCGGGTGAGCAGACAAGCCTCTCGGGCTGGTGAGTGCCGGTCGGCACCGATCCTCTGTGCAGGAATCGCCCCGATTTGCCCTCCGCACCCGTCGCTGTGCACTCCTCCGCGGTCCCGAAGCTCCCCCGTCCGCCTCCCGCAGTCTCCGCCCGCGGAGGGGCTTCCTAGTGTGTGGAAACTTTTCCTCCTTCACAGCTCCCTCCCACTGGTGCAGGTTCCGTCCTTATTCTTTTGTCTCTGTTTTTTCTTTTGCCCTACCCAGGTACGTGGGGAGTTTCTTGCCTTTTGGGAGGTCTGAGGTCTTCTGCCAGCCTTCAGTAGGTGTTCTGTAGGAGTTGTTCCACGTGTAGATGTATTTCTGGTGTATCCGTGGGGAGGAAGGCGATCTCCGCGTCTTACTCTTCCGCCATCTTCCCAACTTCCTTCGAGAAAAAGATTTTAAAAGACTATGTAGATTATAACTTTTTGAGCTCACTTTTAATGGGTCAGTAATGCATTCCAGCAGTAGTATCATTATATTAATAACACAGTTATTGCTGAGTTGGCAAGACAGTATTAAATTATGTTTGAAAATTTCCAGTTTAAGAATGCACAGAAATATATATGTTTAGGTGTTAGGTATCTCATTATGTCGTGTTCCCAAGGTCCCTTGTGTCCTTAGGTGTTGTTAAATCTTTTTTTTAATTGTGGGTTTTCCTGTATAAGGTGGGTATGTCACAGCTGTTATTTACTGTAGAAGTTTATAACTTTCTGAGATATCAAATGGTTGAGTGCATTTGCATGCAGAAAATGTGGAAAGCATGAAAAAAATTTTCGGTATAGTACAGCATTCTTATGAAATAGCCTCACAGTTCCTTGTTTTTATGTGTGCCTGTTATTTTTCGTAGCTGCAGCACCACAAGTTATTGTTCCTGATTCTAAGCTGATACAACATATGAATGCATCAAACATGGTAAGACTCAGAACATAGCACTTTGCTTGGCTCTATTTATTCTAACCCAAATTGTGATTATGCTTGTGTATGTTGTATATTAACAACTTGAAGTTTATTCAGGACTTAAGCAAAATAGCTGTTTTGTTTGGTTTCCTAAGCATTGGATTTAACAGCAAATCTAAAGTTTAGCTTGGTACTTAGACATTAAGGTTCATAAAATTATGCAACTTTCTGTTGAAAATACCAAAAGAATGATGCTTTGTAGGAGCTGTTTTATCTTCTGCCTTTTTTTTTTTTTTTTTCGGGACGCGGGGCTCTCACTGTCGTGGCCTCTCCCGTTGTGGAGCACAGGCTCCGGATGCACAGGCTCAGCGGCCATGGCTCACGGGCCCAGCCACTCCGCGGCATGTGGGATCTTCCCGGACCGGGGCACGAACCCGTGTCCCCTGCATAGGCAGGCGGACTCTCAACCACTGCGCCACCAGGGAAGCCCTTCTTCTGCTATTTTTTGAAAATAGGTTTAAGGGACCTACCAAACATTATGCCAAGTATAGTTATGTTGCAGAAGACCCATTAACTGAAAGAGGTTAGGAATGCTAAGAATTATAAATTTTTAAAAATGAAAACGAACCATTTGGATAAAGATAACTAGTATCGTTAAGATCAGACGTTACAAATTTTGCTCTGATTTAACCATAGCATAGCCTAATAAGTTTTATTACAATATGTAAATTGCTACTTTAAAATGCATTTTTTCAGTTGAGTTTATTATATATTAGACTTTTGATACTTCTAAGAGATAGCCACTGAACTTCATAAGTCCTCAAAATTTCAAATTTCACTTAGCACATATAATATATCCCATCAGATATAACGATAAAACTGAAAGAAAGAAACCCTCAGATCCTTAGAGAATCTTTACTTCTATCCTCACAGTTTTTTTTTTAAAATAAAACATTAAAACAAAGTTTAATTAGAATAATTGTTCCAGCATTTTCTCGTAAATGGCCTTTCTTCTGTTTAAACTACACAGGCTCTTAGTGGTGTCTCTGCTCTGACATTCCATTCTTAAATCCAGCCAAATCCTTTTAATAGGAAAGAATCATTATTTTAAATAAGATCTCTTAGTCTAGTGTTAGCAGTGAGATTTTCTTTTCAGATCCAGATTTTTTTTTTAAACGAAAAAGCAATATTTTAAAAAACAGTTACTATATTTTGTGAGTGATGAGTGAACCTGAAAGCTCATTTGTGTTTTATAAGCCATATAGGAAGCAGGGCTTACCTACTAGACAAACGACTTCTTTCTATTGATATATACCAGCCTTAACAAATGTATAACTTTACAGAATTGCAAATTTCTACACGATAGAAATTGGAACTTTTAAATTCACAAAAAATCAAGAATCTCTGTTTGTACTTCCAGTTCAAGTTCCTGGAGTCAATTCTTTTGCATGAAAATCACAAAAGTCCATGCCTATCGATTCTCACAAGAATTTTTATTATTCAAAAAAAATTCCCTTTCAAGTTTAAGGCACCAAATTTCTTTTTAACCTCCATCCTTAAAAATAAGTCTCACTGTAGGATCCATATTGTAGTTGGTACTATTGAGACTGTTTCCTAGGGAATAACTTGTATCATTTTAAAACAGAAAGTTTAGTAGGATCACTTGCAGTAGACTCATCTAATTTTGAAGAATTTTAAGTGTTGTGGGAGAGAATTTTGAATTAAAATTGTGTTTAAAAAGACTGGTAAAATTAATGGCCCATCTCTTACTGATTTGCTGTGTCTCCTTGATTCTAAAGAGCATATGTATGTAAACACATCATAGGTCAGACTTCAATCAATAAAATGTTAGCATTTATACGTATTTCAGCATTTTACTTGTTTTCAGTTAGTGTTTGCTTCATGTGTTTTTCATGTTCTAAAATGTAATCAGTATAGGCTTTTTACAAATAAGTTTTTTGTGTTTTTGTTTGTTTGCATTATTATTCCTGATTCAAAGATATCCATTAAAAACAGTCTCATTTTGAAAAAAGAATTTTTTTAATATAAGAATATGGGATAGTGCTAATATATTTGGTAGAAAGCTATTTCAGGGAACTTATGAAACAGGACCTTATATCAAACTAGTTTTGCAGGTTCTCTTTATGAAATTGCTCAAATGCATTATTCACGTTAGGGCCTTTTCACAAAGTACAGGAAGGAACTTTCAGCAGACATTAATAAAAGATGGTTTGTGTATGATACATCAAAACAAATATTTATAGCAACTTGAATGTGCAGCGGTATGCAGGTGGTTATTTTCTCATGTATGCTATAAGGAAAATGCTAGGTCAGTTTGCTAGTAGAAGGGGATCTATTAATCTTATAAAATGTGAATTATAGGCACTTAATATTCCTAAATAATATTTCTCAATAGTAAGTGGTTGTTAATATAATTCCTTAAATTTAGATTACCTTTCATTTGTTTATATAGACAAGATTTATTTAAATCTTTCATTTATTTAATAAAATGAAATGCAGAACCTGCATTTTATGAAGAGAACCTGGTGAGCTAGATAGCTGGATTTTGGGGACATAATGGGAGTTTCAGGCTTAAGATATAGAAATTACTTAGGCCTGTCAAATGGCAACAAGCATATTTTCTTGGAAGGCTATACTTAGAGCCTGACTAGATAGTTGTATCATTAACCTACTTGAGTGTAATTTTCCAAGTTTTGTTGACTTCAAAGCACAGTTAATATTTATTTCTTAAAGTGTATTCAAATAGAGGTGTTTCTAAAAATGTATAAGTTAGATTGAGTATATGAAGGTTTGGTACCTTAAAAAAGATTGAAGGGGGAGGGGGAATAAAACCTACTTGTATATAGTTACAGTGAGATACATGGAAATACTTTGAGCTCAGGATTTTAAAAAAAACAGTAAAAATGTAGTGTAATTCTTTCAGAGGAAAGGGGAGAAGTCTCCAGAAGCAGTAAATCAAGAATTTATCCTGGATTTAAAAACATTCAGAGTATAATTCCATGTATATTTTTATAATTTAAAGTCAGATACTAACTTCATTTTAAAGTGTAGAAATTAATTTTTGTGACTTAAGATTTTTAAGATATTTTCTATATTGATAAAACTGTCAGTAATACATGTTTCACCTAGATAATGCCAGTGTTGTCACCTTATGGCATCTTAGAAGAGTTGCCAGCTAAGAATTGCAGTATTCTGATACAAGGTTTTCTCTAGAGACCTGTTAATCATGGTATAAATTAAAAATATTAGGATTTCTAAAGTGAAGATACTTACACTTTTGCCATAAGTATATTAATTGACAACAAGGAATTGGGAGTAAGGAAACAGAATAAGTAAGGAAATAATGGAATGGATATTTTATTTATTGTACAGCACTGTTAGTGTGGGTTATATTTCCTTAGAGTACATTCTCCAGGTGAAAAAACCTCCTAATTATTCTAATTAATTGCTTGAAATAATTAGGTAAGATGTTTAGGCTCAGTGGTCTTTATTGTACCATTTTATAAAATGGCAGTTAGTCTTATTGTTAGAACTTTTCATTTTAGTATATACTAAATGAAACTGTAAATACTATTAAAATATGCCAGAGATAAACTGATGTGCTGTTATGAACATACATGGTTTTGATTGTTTTTCACTTTTTTTTCCAGAGTGCTGCTGCTACAGCTGCTACCTTAGCACTCCCTGCCGGTGTGACTCCTGTTCAACAGATATTAACAAATTCAGGTAATTAGGAATAACTGATCCATTATTTATATAACTCAGAAAATTGTACCGTCTAGCCTTTGTTTTGTCTTCACTGAAAGACAGAAGATCTTAATACTTCTTTTACCATTTGGCTTACGTTATTAAAATAAGATGATTTGAGGACCGTGGCGTATTAAACCATAATCACTGCTGAGGATGCAGTAGAGAAGATGAGAATTGCACTTGAACTTTTGATCCATGAATGGAATCCTATTTATTGAATGAAGTATGATTATAGAGAAGTGCTTTTTGTTGTTGTTGTTGTTGCTGTACGCAGGCCTCTCACTGTTGTGGCCTCTCCCGTTGTGGAGCACAGGCTCCGGACATGCAGGCTCAGCGGCCGTGGCTCACGGGCCCAGCCTCTTCAATGGCATGTGGGATCTTCCCGGACCGGGGCACGAACCTGTGTCCCCTGCATCGGCAGGCGGACTCTCAATCACTGCACCACCAGGGAAGCCCTAGAAGTGCTTATTTACTTGGTTTTTTGCTAAACACTTTTAACTTACCAAATAAGTTAAACAACTCATTTGAACTAATTTGTGATATCAAACTAAATCCTATAGTATCTTAAGAGCAAATTTATTACATTCTATTTTATATAGTATCTCTCCATAGCGGGCAAAATTTACTTTTAATAATAATGTTTGAAGAATTTATTTACCTGGATTTTAAGTATTTTCTCTGTAATTTAATTATACAATTTCTTGCAAATCAAAACTACAATGAGGTGTATCACCTCACACCAGTCAGAATGGCCATCATCAAAAAATCTACAAACAATAAATGCTGGAGAGGGTATGGAGAAAAGGGAACCCTCCTACACTGCTGGTGGGAATGTAGATTGGTGCAGCCACTATGGAAAACAGTATGGACGTTCCTTAAAAAACTAAAAATAAAACCACCATACGACTCAGCAATCCCACTACTGGGCGTATACCCTGAGAAAACTATAATTCAAAGAGTTACGTACCACAGTGTTCATTGCAACACTATTTACAATAGCCAGGACGTGGAAGCAACTTAAGTGTCCATCGACAGATGAATGGATAAAGAAGATGTGGCACATATGTACAATGAAATATTACTCAGCCATAAAAAGAAATGAAACTGAGTTATTTGTAGTGAGGTGGGTGGACCTAGAGTCTGTCATACAGAGTGAAGTAAGTCAGAAAGAGAAAAACAAATACCATATGCTAACATATATATGGAATCTAAAAAAAAAAATGGTTCTGAAGAACCTAGGGGTAGGACAGGAGTAAAGACGCAGATGTAGAGAATGGACTTAAGGACACGGGGAGTAAGCTGGGACGAAGTGAGAGAGTGGCATGGACATATATACACTACCAAATGTAAAACTGATAACTAGTGGGAAGCAGCCGCATAGCACAGGGAGATCAGCTCGGTGCTTTTTGACCACCTAGAGGGGTGGGATAGGGAGGGTGGGAGGGAGACACAAGAGGGAGGGGAAATGGGGATATAAGTGTACGTATGGCTGATTCACTTTGTTATAAAGCAGAAACTAACACACCATTGTAAAGCAATAATACTCCAATAAAGATGTTAAAAAAGTACAATGATTATACAATTTCTTGTTTTGTTAATTTCTAAATTTTTGAAGAACAAACTTAGCGGCTTGCCACATATTTTAATTTTAATTACTACTTAATTAATTCAACATTCTGCATCATTTAAAACAATATATTAGAGGGATTTGGTATAAGCCAGTCATACTGTTAGTGTTATGTGGCAATAATAATTGGTTCAGCAAACTCTTACTGCTTTTTAAGTCATCTTGAAGCTAAGGAATGCTGTGCTTTTGTTCAAGATATTAATGCATTATTACACTTTTGTTTCCTTAAAGCTTTAAAAATGAACAACCCCTGAAATGTCTGCTGATGTTACTTATTCCTCTCTCATGACTTGTTAGTGAAGATAATTTACGCTTTTAATCAACTCTCATAATCTGTTGTTAAAACTTTGTTGGAAACAGCTTTATAAGGAAAATAAAACATATTAAGCAATGTATTAGAGCATGTAGTAAAGTCAGAGAAGGTAAGGACTATAGTTTACTGTGTATGGATGACAGCCCTTAATAAAATTGTTAGCCTTCTTAGTAATTTTTGTCATTCACCATGGTCTGACATTCACTGTGAATTCGTTTGTTTTGAGGTGGTCACTGCTAAAGTGGTAATTTGGAATACATGCTTTTTACTTTAGGCCAGCTTCTTCAAGTGGTCAGAGCAGCCAATGGTGCCCAGTATATCTTTCAGCCTCAGCAGTCAGTAGTTCTACAACAACAGGTTATACCACAAATGCAGCCTGGTGGAGTACAAGCTCCTGTTATACAACAGGTAAAAATCTTTAAGTTTTGACCACCATGGGGTTCTTTTTTTTCTGCCTCTGTATGAATTCTCTGGGTGTTTCCCATCCCTTTTTCCATAGCTTTGTCTATACAAATTCTTAGACTCTTCTCTAATACTGTACAACCTGTCATTCTGAATTCCTCCTGTACACCTCACAGCTTAACTTACAGTATGTCTAAGACTACATTGTTGTTATCCCTACTCATCCTTTATCATCCTACCCCCTGCTTTTTATAAGTGGCACCACTCTCCATCCAGCCTCCTAAGCTAGTTATTCAGCATTCATTCAACACACATTTATTGGGTGGCTACGTATCAGGGTCTTTGCAAGAGACTAGAGATTTAGGAGTGAACAAAGCAGGCATGAATCTGGTTTCATGATGGTTATGTATTGTCTGGAAGGGGGTATGTGGAATCCTCCCTTTTGCTTACCTCTAATATCCAAGGTATCATGAAATCCTACCAATTCTTCTTAATAGTTTCTTTTTTTTCAGACTGCAGTTTAAACATGCTTTCAGTCCCTTAATATATTTGAAACTAGTTTTCTTTTCCCACACTCTCTTTTGTCATTTCCTTAGTTCATGCTCTCATAATTTCTCACTTAAAATAGTGTTATCCTCTTAATTGATTTCCCTGCCTCCAGCTTTGTGCCCTCCTAACTTGACTGCTACTCTATATTTATAGTCATTGTTCTAAAAATTTTTTAATCTTTTAATGATTTCCCATTGCTTATTGGAAAAAGTGTAAACTCCTCAGCGTGGGTTATGAGATCTTTTTTGGGTTCTTTTTTTTTTAATTTTTCCACATTTTATTTTTTGCCATGCTTCCAGTTGTTACCTGGTTCAGCTGCTGTTTATATCAAAGTTGACAAATATTTGCACATGCTTGTGTGCCAGGTGTTAAACTGTTGTACTGTGAGGACAAAGATGAAAAAGAAATGGTTATTTTCTTGAGGAACTTGTGTACTTTGAAAAAGAGACAGATACATAAACAAATAACGTTAATATGATAGTACAGTGATAGAGATACAGAGGAGGAACATTAATCCAGCCTACTTATAGCCTTCCAAATTTGTCCTGTTGGTACTTCTGGGTTTCACTTGATGCTGTTCTCTTTAGAATGCCACCTTTGGCCTTCCTTCTAGCAGTTCTCTCCAGTCCCCCGCAAACAAACAAACCAAACAGAAAAAGCCTGGCTAATCTCCCAAAACACAAATAGAAGCTCAACTGTTGCCTACTAGGAAGGCTTCCCTGACCAGGCCTTGTCCCCCCCAAGCTAAATTTAGTACTCTCTCCTGTCTTTTCATAATGCTATATATTGCAGTTCTCAGACATCTTCTGTCTTTTTGAGTTGCTGTTGCTTTGTCTGTTGCATCATTAATCTGTAAACTTCTTAAAAGAAATACTGTCTTATTATTTTTGCTTTCCTTGAACCTAATGACAAGGAATTGCCGTTTAGTGCTTTTAATTTATCACTAGGCATTGTCTGCTTTTTATTTAATAACTATAATTATAAATATGTTCATTATAATAGATACAATTACTATTTGTTAAGGTTCTTTTTGAGTTGTGGTTTACTTTAGAATCCTAGGATGCAGAGGCTGGAAGGAACTTTAGAAATCATCTGATCTGGTGGTTCACAGCTTTGGTTGCATGATTAGAATTACCTGGGGAACTTTAAATAAAATGAATAGATGTCATCTTATACCAATTAAATCAGAATATTAGGAGTGGGGACTTAGGTATCAGTTGGTTTTTTTTTTTTTTTTTTTTTGTGGTATGCGGGCCTCTCACTGTTGTGGCCTCTCCCATTGTGGAGCACAGGCTCCGCGGCCATGGCTCATGGGCCCAGCCGCTCCGTGGCATGTGGGATCTTCCTGGACTGGGGCACGAACCCGTGTCCCCTGCGTTGGCAGGCAGACGCTCAACCACTGCGCCACCAGGGAAGCCCAGGTATCAGCATTTTTAAGTTACTAGGTTGTTATAACTTGTAGCCAGCATTGAGAACCATTGACCCTAATCTAACAGTGAAAAGAGGTTAAAGACCTGCCTCTGCTACATCTTTATCTGTGATCTTAGACAAAACTGGAACCCAGGGCTTCAGAGTTCAGGGCAGTGTTTTTCCTAGAGAGGCAGTGTAGCATAATAATAAGAGCAGAACCAGAAAACCTAGGTTCACATTTTGCCTCTTAGTGACTTGACTGCAAGCTTTGCAAGTTATTAAACCTCTATACCTCAAGCAAATAAACTAATAACATGTAACTCTTAGCCTTGAGTCTGGCATATACATAGCAAGTACTTGATTAATGGAGCAATTATCTTCAGAAAATACTTTTCCTTCAGAAATTTGAATGGTAAAATGAAAATTTAGTGGATCAGTACACTCACTAAACATTCCTCCTGTGCTTTGGTAGTTTTAACTATGTGTGAGATATGGCAATTTGGGATGATTCTTTAGCATTGGGGCCTATTTCAGTGTGCCAAGCAATGAAACTGAGCTACTTGATCCTCTAGCTAGTTACTAATCTGTAGTTTTTCTTTTGCCTTAGGTACTGGCCCCTCTTCCTGGAGGGATTTCACCACAAACAGGTGTTATCATCCAGCCCCAGCAAATCTTATTTACCGGAAATAAGACTCAAGTTATACCTACAACAGTGGCAGCACCTACACCAGCACAAGCACAGCTAACTGCAGCTGGCCAACAGCAGCCACAGGCCCAGCCTGCTCAACAGCAAGCCCCGCTGGTGTTGCAGGTTGATGGGACTGGGGATACGTCATCTGAAGAAGATGAAGATGAAGAAGAAGACTATGATGATGAGGAGGAAGAAGACAAAGAGAAAGATGGAGCTGAAGATGGGCAGGTAGAAGAGGTAAGTTTCTAGTAAAAGACTAGAAGTAAGAAACTACTCAATCATTTCTTCTTTTACTTGGTACCAAACTGATGAATTATATTTTCTTAGAGGCTGTTAGGGTACGTACCCTAAGATTTTTAGATTGTTCTGGATGTCTTTATCTTTATAAAATATTTCTATAGCTGGTAACAAAAAAATGAATGAATACCAAATTAAGTTGTACTTATAAAGGTGATGGAGACAGTGCATGAAATTCTAATTCTTTGGCTTATGCATTCATCATGATGTAGCTTAAAGATTAAACATTGGTAGAACAGATAGATGTGGTAATCTTTTCCTTCAGTAACTTAAAACAACATTTTGGAAGGGAAGAAACTTAAGAAAAAGCTAAATGTGACCGATTTATTCAAAACCTCCTTTTGTTCTGTATTCCATACCAGTTCCGTAGATAACCTTATCTACTCTTAGTGTCTATCTTCAGTTAAACAAACCATACTTTATCTTCTTTTTAATTTTAAAATTTTATTTTTTTATGCAGCAGGTTCTTATTAGTCATCCATTTTCTACACATCAGTGTATACATGTCAATCCCAATCTCCCAATTCAGCACACCCCCACCCGCCACCACTTTCCCCCCTTGGTGTCCATACGTTTGTTCTCTACATCTGTGTCTCAATTTCTGCCCTGCAAACTGGTTCATCTGTACCATTTTTCTAGGTTCCACATATATGCGTTAATATATGATATTTGTTTTTCTCTTTCTGACTGACTTCACTCTGTATGACAGTCTCTAGATCCATCCACATCTCTACAAATGACCCAGTTTTGTTCCTTTTTATGGTTGAGTAATATTCCATTGTATATATGTACCACATCTTCTTTATCCATTCGTCTGTCGATGGGCATTTAGGTTGCTTCCATGACCTGGCTATTGTAAATAGTGCTTCATTGAACATTGGGGTGCATGTGTCTTTTTGAATTATGGTTTTCTCAAGGTATATGCCCAGTAGTGGGATTGCTGGGTGGTATGGAAGTTCTATTTTTCGTTTTTTAAGGAACCTCCATACTGTTCTCCATAGTGGCTGTATCAATTTACATTCCCACCGACAGTGCAAGAGGGTTCCCTTTTCTCCACACCCTCTCCAGCATTTGTTGTTTGTAGATTTTCTGATGATGCCCATTCTAACTGGTGTGAGGTGATACCTCATTGTAGTTTTGATTTGCATTTCTCTAATAATTGGTGATGCTGAGCATCTTCTCATGTGTTTCTTGGCCATCTGTATGTCCTCTTTGGAGAAATGTCTCTTTAGGTCTTCTGCCCATTTTTGGATGGCTTGTTGTTTTTTTACTATTAAGCTGCATGAGCTGCTTATATGTTTTGGAGATTAATACTTTTTCCATTGATTTGTTTGCAAATATTTTCTCCCATTCTGAGGGTTGTCTTTTCGCCTTGTTTGTAGTTTCCTTTGCTTTGCAAAAGCTTTGAAGTTTCATTAGGTCCCATTTGTTTATTTTTATTTTTATTTCCATTATTCTAGGAGGTGGATCAAAAATGATCTTGCTGTGATTTATGTCAGAGTGTTCTTCCTATGTTTTCCTCTAAGAATTTTACAGTGTCAGTATTCCATTTAGGTCTCTAATCCATGTTGAGTTTTTTTTGTGTGTATGGTGTTAGGGAGTGTTCTAATTTCAT